ACATGACCAAATTATAAAGCATAGAAAGCAGGAAATTTATCACAAAACCATGATTAGTGGCAGATAACTGATCATAGTCACAGGTGAGGCTACAGACGTAGGAAAGGCACCACTACTATAAATTAGAAAAGTTTACAAATTGGTTCAGGGTTCTCTGACTACGATATAACTCATAACCATGCCCCTTTGGGTTTCTGAGCCTTTAAATCCGTGTTTGCAAGGGGAGTGATACCACCCCCTGGGGGCACTGGAGCAATCCAGAGGGCTGCAAAAGCAGATACCTACACTTCATCCTGGATCATGGGCTGTAGTACAAAAGTTTCTAATTGCCAAGGAAATGCTGAATAATTTTTTTCTTCTGAAAAGGGGGCAGTGGGCCAAGTAAGTATGGAAACCTATGCTTTATATCTCTATGGAAGCTGACAGCCTCATCTTTCTCCCATAGAACAGCTAATGGGCTCAAACTGCTGACCTTGTGGTTAGCAGCTCAATACATTGCCCACTATGCCAACAGGGCTCCTTAATGTCTAATACAGAAGTAGTTGGGTAAGTTACAATATAGAATACTGACTATTTAATATGGTATTTTCTTGTTTCAAATAGAATCTTTGATTATATTAATTTTCTGTAACTGTTTCCTAAATGATAAAGCACTATGCATGTTAACAAACAAATTAATGACTGGAAAGGAATAAGTAATAGGTGAAGCAAATAGCTAAATATGTATTTGTTACATTCAGAAAAACCAAATCATGTCACAAATGAACACTTCTGGCTCAACCACAGATTATCTGAATTAAAATTTTAAATTAACAGGGTTAAAACACACAAACTATTTTCCCCTTTGGCAATTGCATGGCATGCCCTCTCATATTCCTCCCCAATTACCAACCACAAAACCAAAAAAACGGTACTTAAAAACAGGTTATCATTGTCCTTCAGTTATTTACAGTTGACCTTGGTAGGAAGCAGAGTGAAGTTTAGAATGATAAGATATACAAAATACCATACACATACATGGTAAGAAGTGTGATTTACATTGAATATGATATGTCAGGGATTAACAGTATTCATTCATTAGTATATTATTCAGTCATAAGAAGGAATGAAGTTCTGATATTTGCTCATATGGATGAACCCTGAAAAGATTATGCTGTGAAAAAAATTAGTTATAAAAGGATAAATTACTCTACGAGTCAACGTACATGAAATATCTAGACTACACAAATTAAAAAAGAAAGCAGATCAAAGGTCACCAGAGGCAGAGGACAAAAGAAATGGAGAATTGTTGCTAAGTGGGTATTAAGTTTCAGTTCTGGATTATGTAAAAGTTTTAGAAATAGATAGTAATAAAGGTTGTACTACATTACAATGCAACTAATGCCAGCGAAGTGTGTACTTAGAGGGATTAATATAGACAATTTATATGCTATACAAAAGGATTCCAAAAAGTTAGTGGGAAAATGAAATTAAAAGATAATAAAATTTTTCCACAAGCTTTTTGAAGTTCCCTTGTATATATTCTACCACACACAACAATTTTAAGCTAAGCATATACCTAATATCTGACCCAGAAATTCTACTTCTAGATATTTACCCAAGCAAAAGAAAAGCCTAAGTTCCCACAAAACCTAGACATATATGTTTATAAATCATTTATTCATAAACATTAAAAACTGTAAACAAATCAAATGCCCCTAACCTGGTCAAAGGAACAAAAGTAATCTCTTGCCTTTTAAAACTGGAGTATTATCTCTCAATAGAAACACACTTTGATAACGCTTTACAACGTTCAGTCTTGCGTGCTTGTCATGCTCAATTTGCACCAGTAGATCCATTCATGAAGAGTGTACACATCGTGTGTCATCTGAGCACTAAACTTCATGCCTCATAGGTACTGATTTGAATGGTCTTTTCAATAACTCCTGTCACTCAATACTACATATCTTTAACACTATCTTTAAAACACAGGCATACAGTAATAAAAGTCAGCCAATTCTTCTATAAATTCTATCATATTCAGTTTAAAGATAGGAAGAACAAAATAGAATATTCCATTCTAATTCTACACATTCTTTCATAGCTTATTGAATGGTCTCAACAGCAAAGACATAAGCAATGTGCTTCTTGTTTATGAGTGACTCATTCTGTCTCTAAAATCTACTTCACTGCTGGCGCTATTTTCAAAACAAAACAAAAAAATATCTGACTTACATCAGAACTGCCTTATGATAGAGTAGCTGGAATGGAACCCCATCCTGAGTCCGGGATTACTCTATATCACATTTTGTTTATTCATTCATCTGTTGATGAACCCTTAGGTTGTTTCTACCTTTTGCTTGCTCTGAACATTGGTGTGCAAGTATGTTTCAGTCCCTCCTTTTCATTCTTTGAGGTATGTATGTACTGGGGATTGGAAAATCTGCGTCTTTTTGTAATTTTATCTTTGAGTATCCGCCCAATAGTTCTCCAGAGTGGCCACATCATTTTACATTGCTACCAGCAACTAAATGACAAGAATTCCAATGTCTCTATATCCTCACCCACACTTATTTTTTGTTTTTCTAGTAAAAGCCATCTTAGTGGTGATTTTTAAAGTTTTGATTTGTTTTACCTGTTTTGTAATAGTCTTCCTACAGCCCTAGCCTCTTGTGTAACTAAAAAAAATATGTTTATAACTATGTCTTGCTTTACCAACTTCCAAAAGGATCTCCTTGTTGGTGGGGGGTGGGGGTAGTTGATGACTTACTAATATGGAATAAATTAGTGTAGCTAAGGCTTTGAGACATTCATTCTCACATACTTGTAAATGCTTCATTTACAATAGTAGATACATTCTTGAAGTCTCTATACATCTCTCATATCAACTGATGACATTAAGAATCACAACCAGCACCATTTATTGAGAACGTATTATATGTGGGGGATTGTGCTGGGTACTTTGTTCGTACTTTTTAATTTGTAGGCCATCTGCAGTTTATGAGTGTCAGACTTACAGACCAATATTAACCAAACCAAAATATCTGCCACAGAGTGAATGCTGACTCATAGTGACTACCTGTTTATAGAGCAGAAAGCCCAGTCTTTCTCTTGAGGAGCTGCTGGTGGTTTTGACTTCCAACCATGCAGCTCAAAGTCCAACACATAACCACTACAGCACCAGGGTTCCTGTACAGACCAGTATTAATTGCCCTTTAATATTAGGTAAGTTTGTTCTCTCTTTAAAAAAACTAAATTGAATTCTACTTGCAGCGAATTCTTCATCACCATTGTACATGCAGCTTTTGAATCACTGAAAAGGCGTCTAGCTTTTTCTTACACTAAAAACTTTTTAAAAACCAAATGCATTGCCATTGATTCAATTTCAACTCATAGCAACCCTATGGGGTAGAGTAAACCTGCCCCTGTGGGTTTCTGAAACTTTAAATCTTTCAGAAGCAGAAAGTCTCATCTTTCCCTCCAACAGTGGCTGGTGGGTTTGAACTGCTAACTGTAGTGAACAGCTCACTAAGAGGTCCACTGCACCACCAGTTGTGCTCCTTTCCTAAAGTAAGGTTATCTCAGAACCATAAACACTTGGTTCCAATTTATTTCCAAAACCCACGTACAGACTTAAAAACATAGGTAGGAATTTATTTCATTCATAATCCAATAAGCTTATGAGATAGTTATCATTATTACCATTTTACAGATAAGGAGAAAAAATGTCTTAGAGAAGTTAAGTAATTTTCTCACGTCAAAGAGCTGTTTAAAACAGGTAGCTGTTTGGCTACCTTAATCATGACTTTATAATATCGTCACACTTTTTTTACTACTCTAAGGAGAGTATTGAAATATATATTTAAAGAGAATTACATATTTCAGAGTAGCTATACATTTAGAGTAGCTCGAAAGACCTGGAAAATAAATCTGACCAAAAAAATCCTATAAAATTTCCAAACATATCATTAGTTTAAAGGATCTTTCCTTTGAATGAATGGCTGAAATAAATACTTTGTTTAAATTCTCATTATTCTATCACTATTGTAGTATAGAAATTTAGAAAGCTAAAAATGGCCTGAATTGTAAAAAAGCAATATGAAAACAAAACAAAAGGTAATATGGACATAGACTAGAAACATATGGAAGGAAAGATAAAAGAGAGATATTGTGTTTTCTACTTTTTATCTGCACCCTTTAACTATTTCTCTAACAATAGTATTTTCATTTAAGAAACATTTTCCTACACTTCAAGTTTAAAACTCCATGTAGCATAAGAAAACACATACAAACACAACAGCACTTACAACAAAAAAGTCTTGTATACTTTGAACATGTCTTACTGATTGCTTTTCAGTTTCCTTTTACACTACACATATCGATAATCATAGCTATCTCACCCAGCTCACACACATTTTTTAAATAGCTGAAACTTCCAGGGTTATCTACGAAGGTACCCAAGGCAAAGAAGGAAGCCCTGCCCCTCCAAAAACGGAAGCCAAAGCAAAGGCGTTCAAGGCCAAGAAGACCATGATGGGAGTTGTCCATAGCCACACACAGCAACACCAACACCAACACCAACACCCTTCCACTACTCAAGATCCTGAGGTAACAAGGCAGCCAAAGGAGAAGCAAGCTTGACCACTGTGCCATTATCAAGTTCCCCTTAAACACAGAGTCTGCCATAAAGAAGAGTGAAGATAATAGCACACTGTGTTCATTATGGATGTCAAGGCGGACAAGCACCAGGTCAAACAGGCCATGAAGAGTCTCTAAGACGTTGACATGGCCAAGGTCAACACCTTGATCAGGCCTGACAGCATATATTGGACTGGCTCCTGACTATGATGCTTTAGATGTTGCCACAAAATCAGAATCATCTAAATTGAGTCTAGTTAGCTAATGTCAAAAATAATCATTTTCAATACACACATATAAGTACATATGTAAATATACACATGTGTGTCTATAGATAGATAGATGTATATATCTTTCAGGCAAACACAGATGATAAGACTTACCATTTTGATGCCTGTGGAAAATGTCACTGGCTTTATAGATTTGGGTTTCTCAAGCTGCATTTCCAGTTGGGTAGATCGATCTTTATGCTGAGCCAAAAGCAGAGCAACAGGAAGATCTGAACTTTCCTGAAAGAAAAAATAATTCATGTTCAAAGTGAAGATGTGAATAAGAAAGCTACAAAGCAAAAGGCTTTTAAATTTTAAAGCATGCCTCTTTCAGAAGCATTAAGTCAAACTAAACATTCACTTTATGGAGAATAATTTACAGAAAATATTAGCATTCCATAATAAGAAAAGGCTGCCATAGACTCATAAATCAAAATAACCTGCTAAGAAGTATTTTTATAAAATCCACATTAAAGACAATATAATGGGGTCCTATTTCATCTGGCAAAGTCAACCCAATTTAGTAAAATAAAAATAAAAATTTTGAAGCTAATCACAAAAAAGAGTAGTACAAAGTATAATAACTTAGATCAGATGTTTATCTAAGACACATTCTTCTTACCAATGAATTCAGACCAGTATGAAATTGTTTCCCATTAGATTGCACCTGAGGCAGTTTGGAAATGATCCTTGTTATGTTTTGCACAATAAAACTATTGTAAGTCCTACCAAACATATATTTATTTTCATCTTTACTAACACGTTTTTTAGAAATTAAATCCAATTTTTCAATTAAATAAAAAACTATAAACATTTTTAACATCTTATTTGGATATTAAATCAAGACCACTATTTATATATAACTGCAAGCACATATATTAGTAATGTAAGCAAATTACTGATTGAATAGTTTTTACATGAACCCTCATTTATTTATTCTGTTTAACATGAGGTTCTCTTACATGTTGAAAGTGCTTTGAAGCTAAGATCTAAAATAAATGACATCCAGACATATTTCTTTTGAGTTATCAGTTAAGTACATAAGAATACCACAGAAAGAAGCCAAGAGGGGAACAGATCATACACAAATACATACTAACATACACACAGTACCTTCTTTATCAGTAAGCATATATGAAGGTACAAACACATTGCTATCTCCTATATTAAGGATACCAACAAAAACAAACATTATTCAAATGGTCTAAAGAACTTTTCTTTTTTACTAGCAATTACCCCAAAATAGTCTCGCACTCTGGTGGTGGTGTCAGGAAAACACTGGACTGCTAAAAGCAAAGTTGGCACTTCAAATCCACCAGTAACTCCATGGGAGAAAGATGAGGTTATCTGCTCCCATAAAGATTTACAGCTGTGGAAACCCTATATGGGGTCACTGAGTCAGAACAGACTCGACGGCAGCAGTTTTTGGTTTGCAAAAAAATAAGAAGTCCCACTATTCATCTCAAAATAATTCTAAAGAAACCCTATCATGAACATATCACAGTATGAAAGCAAAGAAAAGCAACCCACTGCCATCTAGTCGATTCAGATTCATAGTGCCTATGAGCTTTCAAGGCATGGCAAATCTTCGCCGCTTTCTCAGTCTCAGCTTTCTCCCAGGGTAGCTGGTGGATCTGAACCTACAACCTTGAAGTTAGTGGTCCTTTACATACCCAAGAGCACCACCAGGGCTTCTTTAGAAAGTAATTAACAGATTGGAATTTTCTTCCCAAATCCAGAACTTAATATTTTTTAGGGAAGAATGTGGCTAATAACTATAGTTAAAGAAATAGCAAACAATAATTCTTAGTAAAGTAATTCAAATAACATAAAAACAATCTAATTCAACAGAATTTCTCTAAAATAAAGTTGCACCACAAGATTTTCCAATAAAAATGTTTGAAGAGCATTGTTATTAAAAATTTTAACTGTAACTAGAAGAATATTAATTTTATTTATAAAACCTAGCCTCTTTAAAGGAACAAAATCTGAGACCTAGATTTAGCAATAATAAAGCAGAATTCATGACATATTAAAAGAGAATCTACTCGGGCATCTTTCATATTCTATAATAAATCATTAGTATTATATTAGCAGCAAATAGGAATTCTGTAAATTCCTGCAGCTAGGTTTTTCTTAAGAATTTTATAATGAAATATATTAAAGAATTTCTCAAATTAATCTCCAAATCAATCCAAATGCTCTACAATAGCTGTCCTGGAGAAGGATGTCCTGCTTAGTAAAGTAGCAGGGCAGCAAAAAAGATGAAGACCTTCAACAAGACGGAATGACCCCGGGGCTGCATCTATGGGCTCCCACACAGAAATAACGGAGGGGGTGGCAGTGAACCTGGCCCGTGTGTCATTCTGTTGTACACAGGGTCGCTGTGAGTAGGAACCAATCCAATGGCACCCAATAACACCCTGGCGATTATGTACTCTACAAAGCAAAGGATCTTATAAGGAAAAACAAAATTTTTAAAGACAAGATGATCACTCAAAATGTTTCTAATCAAAAAGCTAGGCTGTTTAAAATCCTAGCTTCACATTAATAAAAAATGACCTTAAAGTTAAAATGTCTTGGTAAAGCAGCTGAAATTTAATATAAATAAATATTCTAGGGATCTAAAACTAATGTTAATACTAAAGCAGATATTTTACTTCAAGCCTACTTTGCTTTACCCCTCGAAGCTGCAGAGCTTAAACACCTTAGTTGAGTGTTAAACTAAAATGAAGCAGGAACTCTAACATCAACGGCAACAACTGAAACAAGCAATAGGATAAAATAACCATGTGAAACATATTACTCTGGAGAATTCATAAAATGCAGATTCAGAACACGCAAGCTATTCCATTGTTCTAGCTTCCATTTTACTTTGAAAGGTTCCCTAACCTACATTAATTGCCTCTAGGCACACTGCTTAATATTTAAAGAAATTTTAATAAGACTGCCAGTAATACTCATTAAAATCTTTATAATGACCATTTTTAAAAAGATTATTTTAACTGACTTTAAGCTAGCCATCTGGCAAACAATATTTCTAATAAAAATCAGCTACTGAGTTTGACAGCAATATTAACCCATACAAAATTTAACGTATAAACTGAAAAGAATTTTCAAGCAGGAATATAAAAAGATTTAATAAGTCAGGATCTATTTAAAATCCTTTTTCCAAACTGCTGAATAAAATGAATTTATTTAGGATTAAATAAATGGACATTTTAGGCAACATTATGGCAAAAGCAAAGCCATAAACATTAAGACCATAATATCAGAATCCTGTCACATACAGTATAATACAATGCCAGTGCTTTTTAAAAGGTTAAAAAGTTACTTTTGGCACAAAGAACAAACTCAAAAGCTGAAGGAAAAATATATAGTAGTAGTTTTGCCTAAATTATGTCCAGAGAATAATTCTACCATTTAAGCCTCTAGATATATTTACATACACCAATGCTTTTCAAAAATGTTTTAATAAAATCCAACTTATGAATAAACAAGGGAAAAGAAAGGCAATTTATCCACATTGTACCTTATAATTTATTATTTCAATTAGCTGATAAAGTCTAAAATGATGTTAACATTTATAACAAAGAAATTTTAATAAAGATTCGAAATTAAAGTAATTAAGTTTTTTAGAGATAAATTTTAAAATGGAAATGAGAAATACAAACTGCAGGGGCATTCTAAACCAATCTGTTGTAATTAATTGTACTAATGAATACAGTAAATTACTATGGATTACTTAACCGCCATGTTACAAGATCTAAACAGTGAAGGAAGTATGCGCAGTAATGACTTGCAGGTGAAGAAAACAGGAAGTATCGGGGTTGGCAGGGCCTCACAAAAACCAATATTAACTCCAGATTATACACAATGTACAACACTGGCAGTTTCACATCTTGCTTCATGCCTCACTGAATTAAAGGGGAGCTTCATGCCTACAGCAGCTCAATGAGGCAGCAAAACTTAATACTTCTGAGGACTAAAAAGATAAGCAAGCATAATTGCTATGCAAACGAGCAGGCCTCAAAACAAAGTCTAAAAATCCTTCATTATGGGTAGAATTGGAATGTTAAAAGCAAATTTTCGAAGGGGAAAAATATGAGGTGCTGATGCCAAGGGCATAAGTGGAAAGCAACTGTTTTGAGAATGTGCTTTACATAATTGATGTATGTATGGATTGTGATAAGAGTTGTATGAGCCACCAATAAAATGATTTTTAAGCAAATTTTCAACTCATATCAATAGTATGTATTTAGAATTTAATTCAATTAATTATATAGAGCAAAGAATTAATTTAAGAAAATGAGAAGTCTTTCAATCAAATACCTAACTATTAACATTAATGTTAACTAAGTAATTTTTTAAGAATTTTTTTCCTCACCAAACTTGTCTACAAAATTGTAAAACAGACACATATGTCATTTCAACTGTTAAAGCCATACTTGCAACTTAATAGTTTCAAGAAAAAGCTCATGAAAGTCGCTAAGAAAAACACCATTATTCTGTTTTATATGCTTCTGACCCCATTTCAGACTGAAAATTCACATTCCACTCATAGAGCATAGACTTCTATGAAATCTTTTTCTACATAAACCTTATTAATGTCCTTACTTTTCTTTTTCCTTTACTTTCTCAACTACTTTAAACTTAAGTAATAATCCTTTCTCTTTTTATTCCTTGTTATCTGACTCAATGTTTGGGGGGCAAAATCACACACACACACATATTCCCCTCATCATAAAATACCAGCAGATCAACTAGGCAGGGAAGCTGAGTGTGTTAACACTGAGGGAATACCTCCTGGGAATAAATTATACAGCCAGAATGAAGAGAATGCAAAATAACTAACCCAGAGAGGACAATTTTCTAGTTATGATTTCATAAAAATCACACAGCGTTAGAAGCATCAAATAATACAAAAAAAGAGCTTGGAAAAATCCTGGAAAAATTCCATTATCTTTTAATTATATTTTTTTCCATGAAGGTTTTGAAGCTTCCTCACATAGTGTCAGATCTAGTTATCATTACTGCTATTATCTAACAATGTTGACTACTTGGAGAGTTAATTGCTGCAATACTTCGTTAAAACTATATGCAAAAATATTTAGTTTTCACGAACTATCAGAGTGATTATAAACTTCAACATGGAGCCAAAATACTTAAAAATAAGCTAGATATTAAAATATCTATATTAATCAATGCAAAATATTCAAGGGGGGAATGTGTTTTAGTCGGTAAGCTTAGAAAATTGTAAACTATCAAACAATCTATTAGACAGTACATTGGCTTATGTAAGTACTAATGATGCTCTCTTCCAATAGTACCAAAAAAATTTTAAAAGGCAGAAATAGAAGAAAAACACATCAGAGCCTCATTTAACATTGTTCTATGAGGTCACATATAATGCTGTATCTTAAAGAAAATCACTTCAAATCCTTTGTGGCAGTTGGCAGGATAGAAATAAGTATGCATATGAGTAATACAAAATTGCAATTAAATCATTTTCATAATTTCTGTGAAGATTTCAAAGAACAGCTAGAAAAGACAAAGCAAAGTGTTTTAATGGAATATGTAAAGACCTGGAGTTAGAAAAGCAAAAGGGAAAAACGCTTTTTCTCAAGTTGAAAAAACAGAAGAACTCGAGTTGTAAAATTGATATTCTATGGGCAAAATGCTAGAAGCATCAAAAGATGATGGAAGAAATGTACAGAATCACTGCACCACAAAGAACTGATCAACACTCAATCATTTCAAGCAAGAATGTGTGATGAACCCAAGGTATTAAAAGTAGTCCAAGTTACACTGAAGATATTACTGAAAAACAAGGCTCCAAGATTTGACATGATACCAGTGAAGTGTTTCACCAAACTGATGCAGCACTAACAAGGCTCACCTGTCTATACAAAAACACTTTGAAGACAACTATATGACCAACCAAATAAAGAGATCCTTATTTACACACAGTCCAGAAAAATGATCCAACAGAATAGATAAAATAGTAAACAGAATTCATTAACATCATATGCAAGTAAAATGTTGCTGAAGAGACTTCAAAAACAGTTGCAGCAATACATCCACTGAACTACCAGCAAACCCAAATCAGAAGAGGATGTGGACTGAGGAATAGCACTGCTGATATCAAATGGATTTTGGCTGAAACCAGAAAATACAAGGATGTAACCCATATTTTATGGGCTATGCAAAGGCATTGAACTACGTGGGTCATAACAAACTATGGATAACATCACAAAGAAATGGGAATTCCACAGCACTTAATTGTACTCATATAGAATCAATATCAAGTAGTACTGTTCAAACAGAACCTGGGAGTCCTGAATGGTTTATCTGCAAAGGTTTGCATGTATTAGGTGTATCCTCTCTCCATACTTGATCAATCTGTATGCTAAGCAAATAATCCAAGAAACTGGACAATCCGAACAACATGGCAACAGGATGGATGGAAGACATCCTGCAGCATGCGGACAGATGATAGAACCTTGCCTGCTGAAACTGAAGAGGTCTTTTGTGAACACCTACTGATGACAATCAAAGACTACAGCCTTCGGTGTGAATTACACCTCAACATAAAGAAAACAAAATCCTCACAATTGGACCAATAAGCAACATCAAAATAAATGAAAATGATTGGATTGTCAGGGATTTCATCTGTTTTGGATGCTCATAAAAGCAGTAGTCAATAAATCAAACAATGTATTGCAGTGGGAAAATCTTTTGCAAAAGATCTCTTTAAGGGGTTAAGAAGCAAAGATGCCACATTTAAAGCCCAGCTGTATCTGACTCAAGCCATGGCATTTTCAGTTGCCTCAAATGCATGTGAAAACTGGACAATGAATAAAGACCAAAGAAGAATTGATCCCTTTGAATTATGATGTTGGTTAACAATATTAAATATATCATGGACTATCAGAATAAAAAACAACAACTGTGTTTAGAAAAGTACAGCCAGAATGCTCCTTAGAAGGGAGGATGGCAAACCTTCATCTCACATGATAGAGGCATATTATCAGAAGGGTCCAGTCCCTGGAAAGAAACTCATGATTGGTAAAGTCTAGGGTCAGTGAGATGGAGTGACACAGTGACCGTAACCAAGAACGCAAACAGCAATGACCGTGAGGATAGCATAGGACCGGGCCCTGCTGCTTCTTGTATGCAGGGTCACTGAGAGTCAAAACTGACTTGATGACACCAAACAATAACAAACTCACTTAAAAGTCCCCTCGGTGACACAAATAGCTTGTACTCAACTATCTAGAGTTCGCAGCTTCAACCCACCCAGCATCTTGGAAGACAAAGTCTGGTAATTTGCTTCTATTAAGATTGCAGCTAACAAAACCCTATAGGGTACTTCTACTCTGCAGCTTATTAGGGTCTCCAGAGTGACAATCATCTCAATAGTAACAAACTTACTTTAGGTTGGAGGCTGAATATCAAATGTGCTTGTACTATGCCAAATTCTGAAAAATTAGCATTTTGCCAAGAAATCCTACGTGGCTGAACCTCAACCAAACCAAATTCACTACCATCGAGTCAATGCTGACTCATAGTGACCACCTGTGGGTTTCCAAGACTGTCTAACTGTTCACGGGAGTAAAAAGCCCAGTCGCTCTCCTGTGGAGCTGATGGTGGTTTTGAACTGCCAACTAGGTGCAACACAGTCCACCAAATAACCACCAGGGCTCCTGGTATGGATTAAAGATCACTACAAACAACAATGTTTCCCCCATCGGAAGAGAGATCTACAAGGGGTCTTCAAAACATTCTTGGAAAAATTCATTATATTTCAGTCCATTTTCCACAAACAACTTTGTGAAGCTTCACAGGAGCCTCATACCTTCCCCCTAGAAACTGAACAGCCTTTTTCACCAACAGAAAATGGTGAAAGCGATGCTGTGCCAATTTCTAGACCCATGTCTTCTGAAAAAAGTAACAGCTTCTGCTTCCTTCCTCTTGGACTCCTCTTTCTTGCAGCTCTGAATCACCACAGAAAAAGCCCAATTACTCTGCGACAGAAACCACATGGAGAGGTTTCCTGAGTGTATGAGAACAGCCAGCAACTGAGCCATCATCCAGTCATCCCCAGATGACTGACATGTGAATGACACCTTCCTAGACCTTCCAGGTCAGGAAGCCACCAGCACAAAACCACCAAGTACCTCCATCAAGCTGATGACACGTGAAGAAGAATCACCCACATCATAACCCACTCTAATTTCTAACCCAAAGAATTGTTATCATAATAAATAAAAGAACAATTGTTGGTTGAGGGAAGGGAGGATAGCTCCTTTCTCAGCAATAGTTAATTAAAATTAACACCAGACGTCAACTTGAACCAGAATACAAGCATTATAGGAAAACCATTTAGATGTTCATTTTGAAGCTGTAGAAACAAATCCAGAAGATGAGCAATATTGGTCTTTATTTTAATTAGCATTCATACACACCAGTTCATCTAAAAACGCCTGCTTATTCTTCCTTTTTAGCATCTGCTGCAAGTGTTCTTCTTTTTGTATAAACAGTCTCCTTTGTTCATTTTCCTGTCGCTCCACTTCTAAAGCTTCTTCCAATTCTTCCTGTTCCCGAGTCTAAAGCAAAAATATTTATATGTAGCATGGTTAAATTTAGTAACCAAGATCAAATTCTCTTTTGAAAGCTTATGACACCCTAAGCATTCATTGCTTAATAGTACAACAATTTCACTTTAAAGGAACTAGATTTCATTTTATTTCAGGTGAATAAAGACCGATACCTAGCACGAACCAAACACCTAAAAGATACACAAGGTCCATCTGCATAACTGTGTGGGAACTATGCTTAGTAATAGACTTAGGAATTTATCATTATTACAGACTATTTCAAATCTTTCATTTTAACGAAGGGGGCCACAGGAACAATCTCCACACAGAACGCTTGATTGAAACACTTGTAGTAGACTGATTTAATAGAAACAATTTTCAGAACATATTAGATAATGAAGTTACCATTTTCAGCCAAGCTTCTTTCCAGACTAAGTGTTTACAATGCTAGCGTCCCCAGTAGCAACCATTTAAGCTAAATTCTAAAAAGCTGAAGTTCTATTTTCTAATGTAAGAATATTAATTTTAAGTCTTCTTTACAAATAGCGATATTCAAACCTGAATATTGACAGAATATCGACAGAAAAGAAACAGACTGATTGGTTTCCTTGTTATGAAGTTCAGCTGGCTCGGAAAATTATCCCAACTCTTTTATTTAAATGTAACATTAATACTTATTCTTTTCTCTGTAAGTTTTTTGACCAAGAAACACAGAAAAATCTGAATGGCTTTGTCTTAAAGACGTCACTGTCATAAAAAATATTACAGTAACTTCTTTTTAAAATATTCAGCAAACCACTAAAAATATACAGCACCTCAAAGCAAATATGGAATGTGGCAAAGACAAGTTTGAAAATTACTAACATAAAGGAGTCCTGGATGGGTGTTGAGTTGCTAACCAAAAAGTCGATTGTCTAAATCCACTAGCTGCTCCATGGGAGAAAGATGAAGCTGTCTGTTCCCATAGAGATCTCCAATCTCGGAAACCCTTAATGAACAAATCTACTCTGTCCTGAATGGTCAACTTGGTGACAGTGAGATAGTAGGGTAACATAATTTGCATTACCAGGGCTTTCAGAGAAAAGTCCGTTTTTAAATATGAAATATTTAAAGACTAACAATTTTTTTTTCAAATTCACATACTTAACAAATGTCCAAAAACAAATGTCCATACTGAAAAGATGTTTCAGTTAAACTTTAAACTCAGTCTGTTCAAAGTTTACCATCTGGTCTCACAAAGCTGATCATCCTCTTGGTCCTTACTTGTTTAGTGCACCCCAACCTCTCAAGTAAGCCAACCAGAAACTTGCTTACTCCTTCCGCCTCTATTCTCCTTCAATTAAATCAGTTACGAAGACCTATTAGAAATTTTTTTACAAACATCTCCTCCTCTATTACTAGGTCACTATTCTATCTCAGGCCCCCCGTGGAGAAGGGAATTTAACCATGATCTAGAAAGGTTTCTGCACAAATAAATGTATCAAGTTAAGAGCTAAGAGGTAAGGCCTGGAAAAGTGAACTACTTGATTAAAAACCCTAGAGTAGAAAAAGATGATCTCATCACAAGCATAAATAACTATGGCAAGTGTTGCACAGGTAAGCATACACAAGAAAGTGGAGCCACAGTTGATAGAGTAGCAAATTCTTCTTGGGATGATGAAAAACAGGTAAACTCATAAAAGGTTTCACACTGAGGTTCAGCTAAGACTTCACGAAATAGTTATTTGAATCCATTGGACATTGGAACAGCCACGTAAGCACACAGAATTAAGGCCAAAAGACATGAAACAAGACGTTATGCTTCATATAGCCATGTCATGAAGTACAGGGGATAAGAAAGTGCTCTAGAAAAAGATGGGGAGACCAGCAGAAGGCTGAGCATGGAAGCTCTATATCAAGGCAACTAGAGAGACATTAAAGGAATTTATAGGGTCGGTTTGGAAAGATGGAGGAAGGTATGCAGACCAAGCCAGGCTCAAGACTGAACAAGAAGGCCAGTTAGGAGAATATTTCAACAATGCAGAAAAGAAATGACAAGGTTCCTAAATAAGTCGTAATCGAAGAATTACAGGAGGAAACAGGTTTGAAAAATGGAGACCATCAACAGAAAATGAAGACTGACCAGATAAGGCCTGAAGATAGTGGATGCTGGTACCACCCACTATAAGGACTGTAGCAAGAGAAGATAAAATTTCATGTCTGGGGTAAACAAGTGGCCTTTAAGACCCCAGACACTATATCTTTTGATAGCCCAGCAGCATCAACAGGAATTCCATGGAAGAAGTTAGGCGGATATCCCCTGGTGAAGGGCAGGCTGGCTTTCCCCAGCCTCGGGCTAAGCGTGTAGCTCTCCCAGCTGGGTGGAGTGCAGGCGTAAATGCCTTAGGCTAAGAGGCATGGTCTGAAGGTCGGCAGTGAGGTGTGAGAGAAAATGGAAGAGGCAAAGAGGAAAAAACTAAAACAAAAAAAACTAAGCCCTCTGAGACAGTGGGGGGGGGATAAAAAAAAGAGAGGGAAACAAAAATAAAAATATAGCTGAGCCCAGATCCCTGGCTGCAAGGGTTTAATCCCTGCCCTGAGGCTGTGGCAAACTGTGGCTGTGTTGAGATAAAACCCTGCGCTGGCTCCAAATGCCTGGCTCCTGGCTCCAGCCCAGAGAGTGGCAGGCCTAAGGTCAAACCCTAGCCAGCCTCCAATGTGGCATGCCAAAAGCCCCAACCCCTCAAAACCTAGTGGATCTGTGCCTACTTATCTTTATGATGTTCCTCCTGCGACCCAGCAGTGTGGAATTTCCCTCTTAGTAACCCTCCTAGGCTGATTTCTGCAGAGTCCCTCTGGTATGTGTTACTCAGGTGCCATCTTCCTGGAAGTCCAAAAACTCGAAATAATTCTTTAATGCATCTTTTCTTAACTGAACTCTAAACTTACCTAAACAAATGCAATAACCTCCCACCTTTCTCCCTGACTTCCGGCTTGTTGTGGTTATCAGATTCTTCCCAGCAATTTGTAAAACATAATGACTCCATGTGACAAGGGAGAACCTTTCTAATGGGAACAGATCTCCAGTTCTTTCTCCCACTGAATCATTAGGTGGGTTTCAAATACTAACCCCAAAACAACTTATCTATATAAGTCCAAATTACTTTTCACAATACATAAGGACTTCTATGACCTTTTGTGTCCTTTTTCTTTCTCCAACTTGAGCTCTACGTCTTTATATTTTGGCACATAGAACTACTTATAACTCCCAGAATTCCTCATGTCATCATGATGTTTCCTCGGCCTGTAATGTCCTTGTGGCAGCTTGCACCTCCATCTCAATCACATCATTTTTCACCTGTCTAAATTCTACTTTTTCTTCAAGGCTTCACTCAGGCATTAACGACCTGAAATGCCTTTCCTCATCTTCCCAGACTGGATTAGATCTACCTCATCTGCTCCCATAGCTCTTTCCATGTACTTTTGATCTTGCATAGAAATTACCCTATCTCTGGAGGGTCAGGACACTTGTTCATCTAAGTATAATCTACACCTCTCAGATGTTTATAACTGTTTGCTACTTTCATTATTTTAGAGGTTGAATTATTAAACCTTCTATCCAGTAATTTCAACTCTGGCTCATAAAACCCCAGAAACTAAAAGTAAAACATAAGATAATCTTCTCTAAGACTATTAGAAGATTAGAATGCTTTACTAATTTATCATTGCTCACTCTGATTGATGTTGATGTCAATTCTACCTTCTCAATCAACAACTAGACAACTAGTCCAGAATTAGATTGTTCTTTCCTTGCAACTCTCAGTCTTATTTTTCAGCTTAGAAATACAGATGTATTAAGCACTCACATTAAAGAAACTAATTTCCAGTATTAAGTAATTCACTAGGCTTAAAGCAACAAGTTTCCTGGGCATTTCTAGTTTTCATGCATCTTCTCATGTACTCAGAAAAGAGGAGAGTAAAATATACCAAGGGGAGTAATATTTATGCATACTGATACTATCAGAAATGAGGTAGCATTTTAAGGAAACCTGGCTGGTTCTGAATAGAATGAGAACGCAATGCCAATTTCTCAATCGTTGTATGGTGGGAAAGTGTGACTAAATGAAACTGTGACGGGAAGAAGCACCTCCTAAACACAGAAGAAAATACTAACTACGGGACCCAAATATCATTACAGATGACTACAAATTCATGATAAAGTGCTTAACTTCTGTTTGCATCAAAAACTAAACAGTTTATACTAAAAAAAATCACTGCCATTGAGTCAAAGTCAACTCATAGCAACTCTACAAGACAAAGTGAACTGCTCTGTAGGTTTCCGAGATTCTAACTCTTTACAGAAATAGAAAACTGCATCTTTCTCCCAAGTTACACTAAAGAAATGATCATTTAATTCTATATAATAGAAAAATCAGATCTCTGTATACATACACTCCTTTTCATTTTCCAGAATTTAGTTTAATCCTGAATTTAAATCCTTAAATATATCCAAATAAATTTTAACACAAGATCAATTAACACAAACCAAAATTATACATGGCACTGTTACTAATTCAGTAAAACAAACAAACAAAAAAAACAGTCACTAATAAAAAAGCCAGAGTTAAGTTTAGTCTGTAAGTATGTTCCTCGCATGCTTGGAGGGGTGCCTTAGTCCGCAAAGTAATGCCTTTGATCTTCAACACTTTCAAAAGGCCTTGTGAACAGATTTACCTAATGCGATGCATTGTTTTGGCTGCTGCTTCTGTGAGGATTGATTGTGGAATCAAGCAAGACAAAATCTTTGACAAGTTCTATCATTTCTCTGTTTATCATGGGTCAATTTTGAGGATTCTGGCTTATTCTACATTAGTTGTAATCCATAATGAAGGCTGCAATTGTTAATCATCAGCAAGTGCTTCAAGTCCTCCTTATTTTCAGAAAGCAAGGGTTTGTCATCTGCATATGGCTGTTTTAATAAGCCTTCCTCAATCCTGATGCCACGTTCTTTTTCATATAATCCAACTTCT